CAAGCAGATTTTTTTTTTTTTTTTCCCTATCATCAAACACTTTTGCACCTCTATTCAAGTTTTCCTGGGAATGTGGGCTTGGAGGATCTTGTAAAGGAATTTCTATTCCTGCGATTGACTGGCCAAGCGTCCACTGGGCGAAGGCGGGCCTGGACTTAGAAGGCATGTGCATGCTGTGCGCGCGCGCTTGCGCTTCTGCGTGTGAGTGAGGACCACGGAGCAAGTGTTCCTGGATGTGTGAATGGGGGTGTGAATCTGCCAGCACAGGCCTGAGTGCTGAAGATGGGATCTGACACCTTGTTAGGAAGCACGCCTCAATCCCCTGCAGATTTAACCCCAGCTTCCCAACCTGGCCGGCGGAACCCTCCCTGTGCACATCCACCATCCTTCGGTAACAACCGCATACGCAACACTTTCCTTGGAGCATCCCCCACCCTCCCATATGTTACATATTAAACAGACATGGAATGTCTTTTTCCCTTCCACCCGCAGCTTCAACGTATTGAAAACGCCTCGCCCCACTGTCACCTTTGAATTCCTGCCCACATTCCCCTGATGTTTATGAGGCAAACCTTCTCTTCTCACTTACGGTAATGAGAAAATATGTCACAAACCTAGAACATTTTTCAGTTTACTCATCTATTGTTACAGAATGACCCCTCATAGGACAAGCTAATAATTAACTTTTCCTTCTCTTAAAAAACAAAGATGTAACCAAATTTGTTCCAGAAATGAAAGGAACAGCCTAGCACAGTTGGAGCCGTGTGAGGCTTTCGCCCTCCAACTCTACTCACTTTTTCTGTATTTACTTTCCTGTTGAACTTAAAGGGTGCCAAACCCTCTTCAGTGCAGAGGTGCCTCTGACCTGCCATTGGGCCTTCAGGACTTTGAAACATTCAAGGAGGACAAGAGAAAATACACCCCCGTGCTCTGCTGGGAAAGGGGGAGCTGCTGTGCTCTACCTCCCCACCCCCACCCCGCCATGCCCATGGGGCTCTTACAAGGGACTAGAGTTCTTGTTAGCCCCTGGGTGCCAAGATGGGTGGCATCTCCCTCTCCGACACCAGCCTCTACGTGTCCAAGGTCTGCCCCTTAGGGCTCACCTCCCCAGGTGGCCAGGCTGGCAAAAATCCAGCAGTCAAGGCTATGAAATACAACCACTTCGGGGCAGACCGTGAAGACCAGTGGGAGATTGGCCCCATGACTCATCTTTGCCTCCGGACGCTGCTGGGTGTGAGGATACTGGAAGCCAGGCCACTTCAGGTCCCCTTGATCTAATAGCCCGGCCTTGGGGAAGGCTGGCATCTGGTAGGCGAGACCCATGGCCAAGGGCACGCCCACCCCCTTCAGCGACCCCAGGAGAGCCAGAAGCAAAGCTGTCCCTGTGGTTCCAGAGAGTCTTCGAGCCACAGAGGGTGTTATTACGGGAACAAAAGTATATACAGAAGGGGATGAATGGCCATAGAAGCTTCTATAATATAAACAACAGCCTGGAGTGTATGTGCCTATGCACACATGTTGGGGGAGGGGAGATAAAAAAATCAAAACATCCAAAATCAAAATAAACGATGATCAGAAAGAGGCGGCTTTCAAAAAGGAAGTGGAAACTCTGTCTTCATGGGTGGTTTTCCTCCCCTCCCAGCTGTCCCCACTGACCCTTCACTGCCGCCCCCCCAGCCTGCCCCAGTCATCACAGGCTTTGCCCCCTAATTATCCCAGGGCTGCGGCAGGGACTGGAGGTGGGCAATCAGGAGCCAGGCCTTGTTTGGATTAGATCTTCTCACTAATGACCCCCCTGAGAGCCTGGTTTCCAGAACAGGTGCTTGGTAACCTTGGGTCAATGACTCCCCCTCCATCCCCCCCTTCCCAATTTCATATCTGGTGGTTCACTGCCCATCCAGCAGGAGGCTGGGCCAAGTGCTGAGAAGCCAGGAGCCCTTGGGAGCCTCCAGGTCCTTGGCTACTTGTTGATAATATTTCTGGAGGACAATCCGGAGTCCTCCGCTTATACCCAGCCCCTTTCTCAAGATAGCACAGTTTTCCATTTCCCCCTTCTCCCTGGCAGCAGGGGTATCATGTGACTTGTTGTAATCCTGCGCGGTTGCCTGGAAACTGGAAAGCAAGGTGATGGATTTCTGCACATGCTCACTCTCCCCCCCTCCTTTAAAGAAAAACCCTACAGAGGACAAATAGCCCACTTTGCCTAAGTGCAGACAAGTTTAATAAAGCAGAGAGTAATTCTTTTCTGGAATTATGTACCGGGCTGAAATCCTAGAATCCCAGAAAACGAGGACTTGGGGCTCCCCGAGAGGCATCTGGCCAGATCTCCAACCTCGAGTCAGTCCCACAAATACCCCTCTGGAGGGGAAGTCACACCAGCTGCGACTCCAGAGGAGCTCAGACCCAGGACCTTGCTCACGAAGACTCGGTGACTTTGTATTTCATTTCTTTGGAAAAGTGCCACCTTAGACAGTGCACCTTTGTTTAGAGAGGGAGATGGAGAGAGATACAGGTAACCTTCCCTAAGGCTGCAGGTCACCTAACCACTCCGAGTCCCCATGTGTCACCTCCGGAGTGGAAGACAAAGCCCTCCAAAGGCCGTTGTGAGGATAACCAATAAGGCAAATGCCCAATGTGATGTGTGATACGCAGCAGGTGCTCAGACATGATGTTACTTCTGTGTAGTCACCCTGTTCCCTCAATAATCTACCACCTGTTCTAGGAAGAAACTCCCTAACTCCAAAGCAAAGATGCCCTTCGAATGAGAGCCACACTCCTGGGGGTGGGGGCTGGAAGCCAACCAATGAGGTCTTGCAGAGGTGAGCCCCCAACCCCACCGTCCTCCTGCAGAGAAAATCGGGGGCTGGGAGGCAAAGGGGCTGTGCCTTCCTGCCATCCCTCAAACCCCATCCTATCCTGCACTCAAAAAGAAATAGCAGAATTGTCTAGCCAAGGGGGCCCTTGAAGTGCTCTCATCCAACCCATTATGTGGGGAAACTAAGCAAAGAGGAGGTGAAGAGATCTTCCCAAGGTCACTTTGCCCACATTAGAGCTAGCTAGAACCCCTCGGGGTCCTGAACCCTGGTCCCCTCTCTTTCCTCCACCCCATGGCGAGGGGGCCCAGGGCAGAGCTGGCTAAGAGGGGGCCCTGAGCATCTCCGATCCTTGACTTCCATGGCAGAGCCAATCAGCACAACCTGAGACGCTTTTCTGAAAGAATCACCGCAAAGCTTCAGCCTGAACTTCAATCAACCCCTTCTTATGTCTGGCCTTGACCCCTGAACTGGGCTATACTCAGCCAGACCCTGGGCGGCCCCACCAAGTCTTTTATGGTGGCAGATGTGCCCACGGGCATCTCAGTGGGCCCGGCCCACCTAAGGGAGAACAGGCTTGGACAGACCCAGAGAGGAGGCGAGGAGGGAAAATCAGACTCAGCCTCCTGCCGTCCCGTCTCCTTCCTCTCTCCCCTGCAGACAAGGGACTCCGGCGTCAGGGGGAGAGAAACCCTATCTGTAGAAGTGCTGGGCGAAACTTATTTGTAATAAAACGATCGCCTGTGGTATGTTAAATTTAAAGCATGTTAAGTCAAACGATAATTGAAAACGTCCTAATCGGATTTACTTTCAAGTGCTTTTTGGATTTATTATAAATGGAGTTGTGAACGACTGGGTTTTCCAGCGTCTCGACCGCTATTC